TACCTGGATGCAGCGCCTGTGGAACCAGGCATGTTTGCATGCCGGGCACACCATTGTGGTATAAGACTTTTGGTGCCCCACAGGGTCCAGGCAGATGACGCACACAGTGTCCTCCTCTGGAGCTGCCTCCACTGCCTGCTCTGGGCGGTGCTCCCAGCAGAAGGACCTGTTGAGCAGAGGAAAGGGATGGGCGAGGTGAGCAGTGCTGGGTCCTTCTTCCCCAGGGGTGGCGATGAGGCTGGAGGTGTTGTGAAGGAGCCCCAGAAACTGCCCTGCTCTGGCTCTGCACTGAGCTCTCACTGTGGGTTCCCTTCTGGTTTCGCTGATGCTGGCAGGAGGGGCACTGAGGGCAAAGGGCCTCCCCACCAGGGCCGCTGGCCTTACCTGTAGAGTCCAAAGTACTGGGTGATGCAGCCGCCTTCCATGGCACAGGGGAGGTGGAAGGTGCGCTCGCAACCCGTCTCGCGGCAGATGATGCTGGCCCCACTCTCGCCGCAGACGAAGCATTGCTGGAAAAAGCAGAGGAGCTCCCATCAGCGGCAGCCTCCGGGCCTCCTCCGCCACCCCACACCTCGGGTCCGGGCGCGGGATGTGGCCACGGCTGGGTCACAGCCTGCAGACGCGCCTGGCGGAGGAGGCTCCTGCGCTGGAGCCTCCGCGGAGCTGCTGGGAGCAAGAGGTCTGTGCCAGAGCTGCTTGGAAGGGCTGGGATTTCTTTCCAGGGGTCTGAGCTAAGCTCCGGCAAACCTCTCCTGGCACAAATGCCCCTGCTCTTGTCTGGTCCTCACCTTCTGTTCTGCCCACTCGATTATATACCGAATATCCTCGGGAACAAAGCCCATGAATCCAGAATCTTCAACGCATTTCCGATACAGGTCATTGGCAAAATACTGCAGAAGGGGAAAGACAAGGAGCTGATGAGCAGAGCGGGGCAGGGATTGCCTGTGGAAAGCTGGAGGGAGCCCCCGAGGAACTCACCACGCAGAGCTCATGGGCACAGATCCCATTTTTGTACAGCTTGGCCCCACAGATGTTGGGATCAGCCTCCACGCGGCGACACAGCATGCACGCTGGAGGGGAGAGAGCAAATGGCGGCGGGAATGAGCACCTCTGCGGGGCCGGGGGAAGCGTCCCTGAGGGATTGCCCCCAAGGGCCTGTCTGTCCCTGCCCAGGTGGCTGAAGGGCAGGGCTGGAGGCCGTGGGGAGGAAGGGGCCATGGCAGGCAGGGGTGTCCCAGCAGGTGCCCACTGCCCAGCCTGGTCCCCGCTGGCTGAGGAAAGGGAGGGCCCTGCCCCGGGACGCTCACTGAGCTCCTGCCTGCCCCGGCCACCGCTCTCGGCCCCACGCTGACCGCCCCGACAGCCCCTCTGCCAGGCTCTGGGAGGGACACTGTGCTCTCACCATGCTCCATCGTGTCGCGGGCGTTCTCCCTCCTGGCAGACATGCCGCACGTCCACAGAGAGCGTTGGGAGAGTCCGAGTCCCAGCAGCGCTGGGCTGTCTCCTCCAAATGCTCCTCTGCTGACCCTGCGGGAGAAGCGGGAGACCCCTGAGCTTGCAGCACAGGCCCAGAGCCCCGAGGTGTGGGACCCCCTCCTCCCTCGGCAGACCCTCGGCAGCCCCGTCCCTCCCCTGCCCTCTCCTCACCTCTCCAGGTCGCACTGAGGCCCCGACGGAGCCCTTTTGTGCGCTTGCTCCCTGCCCGTCACAATGGCCACGGTGACATCAGCACCGCTGGCCGGCGTGCGCCCCAAACACGGCCAGGGATGCCCTCGGCCACTTGCCACCCACTCTGAGACGGCCACCGCCTCGCAGGGGTCTGTGAAGTGTCGAGGGGGGATGGCCGGGGCACAGCACAGCTCCTCGGGATGGCACCTCAGTGTCGCAGCCCACCATTGTTCTCCTAAACTGCTCAGCGCTTTGGGGAGACGTGCTGCCTCCAGAGGAAGAAGCAGCGGGACCAGCAGCTGGGGAGTCGCGGGGGAAAGGGCCTTCTTCCACGGCAATAAACCCTGGCCTGTTTCCATGGCCAAAAAAAGGAGTCAGCGTGCGCCTTTCCTTGGTGGGGTAGGAAAGTGGAAGAGGCTGCGGGGCAGCTTTGGAGGCCGTGGGTGGGAGCGTTGATCTGTTTGAGGGTGGAAAGTCTCTCCCGAGGGATCTGGACAGGCTGGGCCCATGGGCCGAGGGCTGTCAAGCCTTGGAAAACACTGCCCAGGGAAGTGGTTGAGTCCCCATCCCTGGAGGGCTTTGAGAGGGTCCAGAGCCATCCTCTTCTCCCAGCCCCGTTCCCAGCCAAACTCTGCCGCTCGGGCTGTCCTTCTCAGCAGGCTGTCCGAGATGTCCCTTGGCCTCCCGGCGCCAGGGCCTTCCTTCCGGAGCTGCGTTAGCTGGATGCCGACAGAGGCCCGTGGTGCCAGGGAACAAGCACCTCGGAGGCCTGTGTGTGACCACAGCTCCTTGGCCAGCTCCATTCGAGCTCCATCACTCAGGAGGGGCTCAGAGCTGACATCCCCATCCATTCCGTGAAGAGCACTACCTCTTCTGGCCATGTCTAGACCTCACATCTTCCCAGTCACAGCAGTCAAGAATAGAATGACAAAGTGCTGCCACCAAGTCCTCTTTCGGGCCTTCTGTACTCCCTTTCCCTCATTACCTCTTTGGTGGCAGAAAAGCTTGTCAGGGCCTCTCCGCCTTCCTCAGAGAGGACAGCTGCTGCTCCCTACTTTAAGGAATCAACTTCCACATGGCATCAAGGCCTCTTGGAAAGGCACTTAATGCACATACCATAAGACCATTTATAGCTTGCCTGAAGAGCAGAAGGTTATTCATGCCTTGACAGCCACCCCACGGGATATGCTTTGGTCACCATTATTCTTTGATTCCACCTTCAGTTCTCTGCCAGCTTCCACAGAGCTCTTCAGTGGCCGCTCTGCAGCAACACTTTTCTTCTTACTGTACTAGAAAGGAATTTGCTGGTCTCCAGCAGCTGGAAAATCCTTTCAGATGGCTGACCGATGAGCGCAGGGTGGCAGCTGAGGGGCAGAAGGCCCAAGCCCTCAAGGAGGGTTGGGCAGGCTTCAGCATTTCTTTCTGAGGTGGTTTTAGAGGCTCCTGCTGGCCTCCTCTGCTGCTGGGGCTGTGACCCCCAGGGAGGTGCTGCTAAAGCCCTGAGCCTGGGGGAGGCCCTGGCTTCAAGCAAAGACCCCTAAGCCCAACCACCAGCAGACACCAGGGCAAGGGCCAATGGTGGGGCACATGATTTTTGGAGGGTGAGCCACGAGGGCCATGGTGGGTTGGTGGGCACAGCCCACATTGCCAGGAGAGAGATGGCAGTGCCAACTGGGCTGTGCTGGACCAGGCTGCCCTCCCAGGGGCAGAGACCCCCGTCCCAGGGGTGGGTGTGAGCTTCCCCTGGGGAAACTGAGCAGGATGTGGGGCCAAGCCCTGGGGACATGACAACCCTCTGGGCCCAACCCCTAACGCTGCCCCTCCAGAAGGGAAAAGGAGGAAGAAGCCAACACATGAGCACAGAATCTCCCAGTGCAGAGATTAACGGCCAACTTTATTGAGCCAGTGGAGGGGGGATCAGAGCCAGCACTGTGGGACAGCACACAGTGGTCCTGCATTGTCATCCAGGATGGCTGCAGGGAATTTGGGCCCAACGTGGCAAGCAGGGCTGGTCTTGCATCTGTACAGGCCCAGAGGGCTGGTGTGGCTGCTGCCCTGAAATGCTGAGGAGCCACAGGAGGACCCCAATGGCAGCTGGCTGGTGGTGTTGGGGCTGGTGATCTTGAGTACTGGTGAGCCGTGGGACGGCCCCAGCGCTCCCTGGCTGTGGCTGCTGCCCTCAGCACTTGGCACACGCAGTTTCACATGTGGGTGGGCCCAGGTGGACTGGAGCATCTGCTGTCATGAAGTGCCAGGGAGTTGTGGGACAGCCCTGACACAGCCGTGCTGGAGATGCTGGTGTCCAGTGCCATGGAGCTGTGGGACAGCTGTCATGCTGGAGGTGCTGGGTCCAGCGAGCTGTGAGCTGGCACTGGAGGCTGTAGGGGGAAGCAGGAAGGTCAAGGGCACGGCCCACAGGCTCAGGGCAGGGCAGGACAGGCCAGAGCAGGTGGCCCCAGCCCTCCTGGAGCAGAGAGGCTCTGCCAAGCCCACCATAGGCACCCGAGCGCCTGCCATGCACTGGGGGCAAGGGAAGGACTCCTACCTGCAGGCAGCCCCCAGGGAACTAGCCTGTCCGCATGCTGGGCACAACATGGGGGCATAGGACTGACTTCCCCAACAGAGCCCAGGCAGATGAGGGCAGGTGGTGTTTCCCTCCAGAGGCACCTCCACTGCCTGCTCTGGCAGAAGGACCTAGGGGGAAAAAGGAAAGGGATGGACAAGGTGAGAAGTGATGGGCCCTTTCCCAGAGGGTGGAGAGCGCAGAGATTAATGACCAACATTATTGTATGGGTGGAGCAGTTCAGCCACAGCATTCGGGGACTGCCCACCTCACGACTTGCGGCGCCGTTTGGGGTGCCTGGAACGACTTTGGGCCCTACGACGCAAGCGGGGGTGGTCTCGCACGCGCGTGGGCCCAGGGGGGGTCGGGCAGCTGCTGCCTTGAGGTGGTGGAGAACCGCTGGTGGAAGATGGTGCCTGGCTGGCAGCGCTGGGGCCAACAAGTCGTGAGCTGGCACTGGAGGCTGTAGGGGGAAGCAGGAAGGTCAAGGGCACAGGCCCCAGGCTCAGGGCAGGACAGGCCACAGAGCAGGTGGCCCCAGCCCTCCTGGAGCAGAGAGCCTCTGCCAAGCCCACCATGGGCACCCACTGCCAGCCCTTGCCTGGCCCCTGGCCCCAGCCCTGGGACAGCTTTGCCTCTTACCGGTGCCCAGGCCAGCACAGCCGTCGCACTCCCAGGTAGCCTGGCTGCTCCTCAAAGAGGAGCAGCGCCGGTGGGTGCCCTCGGCACCACAGGAGGAGCACAGGAGCAACTCCCAGGGCCTGGGGAAGCAAAAGGGATCATGGCTGAGAGGCCAGAGTGACGGCAACAGAACAGGACGGTCTGGCAGAGCTCTTGTTCTCAGTCCTTGTGCTTCAAGCTCTTGGCCAGACAGAGATCCCGTGCAGAGCCCCGGGGTGCAGCGTTGGACACTTACCCCTCTTCCTCTGCCTGCTCCCTGCCTATCGGACAAAGGCACCGACCGGCGTCGCAGCGGCTGTGCCTCGCACTTAGCTCCTCATCTGCCTGGCTGTCCCGTGATGGCAACCTGATGGAGAATGGAAAACTGATGAGCCTCCACTGCCCCAGCATAAGGCAGATACAGGGTGCCTGTCCCCCCTGCCACCCCCTGCCCTGTTCCCAACTTCTCCGTGAAGCTGAAGCCCAGAGTCACGGGGCAGTGGAGGACTAGGACTACTGGGCACCCCTTGGCACAGCGCAGCACCTACACCCTCCTGTCTTGTGAGCCGGGCAGGACACCAACCTGAAAGGGATCCGGATGCCCATGGAGAGCATTTCTGAAAGAAACGCATCCCTGTCCCTGCAGAGAGGGCACCGGAAACAAGTAATTCCATCACGCACAGCCTGTCCCTGCAGGAGAAACAAAAGGAGCCCAAGTGAGGCCCTGGTGGTGCCGAGCGCCTGCCGTGCACTGGGGGCGAGGGAAGGACTCCTACCTGGATACAGTGCCTGTGAAACCAAGCGTGCCTGCACACCGGGCACACCATGGTGCCGTACGACCTTCCTTCCCCAACACGATCCAGGCAGAAGAGGCAGGTGGTATTTGCCTCTGGAGACGTCTCCACTATCTGCCTTGGACCGTGCTCCCAACAGAAGGATCTGGGGGGGAGAAGAAAGGCATGGGTGAGTGAGAAGCAACTGGGTCCTTTCAGTGTCAGGGAGGATGGGGGAGGAAGTACCTGTACTGAAAAAAGAACTGCGTGACGCAGGCACCGTCCACAGCGCAGGGCAGATGGAAGCTGCGGTCACAACTCGTCTCCCAGCAGGTAATGGTGGCCCCGCTCTCTCCACAGACAAAGCAGGGCTGGAAAAAGCACAGCAGCCCCCATCAGCGGCAGCCCCAGGGCCTCCCCAGCCACCCCACACCTCCAGACAGGATGTGGGATGTGGCCACAGCTGGGTCACAGCCCACAGATGCACCGGGCAGAGAAGGCTCCTCTGCTGGAGCCTCTGTGCAGCTGCTGCAAGCAAGACATTTGTGCCAGAGCTGCTTGGAACAGCTAGGATGTCTTTCTTGAGGCCTGGGGTAAGCTCCAGCAAACCTTTCCTGGCACAAATGTCCCTCCTCTTCTCAGATCCTCACCTTCTGTGCTGCGCAGGTGACTGTGCGCTTAATATCTTCAGGGAGAAATCCCTTGAGTCCCAACTCCTCGACCTGCTGCTGACCAAGCTTGTTGGCAAAAAACTGCAGATGAGAAAACACAAGGAGCTGATGAGCCGAGTGGGGCAGGAACCGCCTGTTGGAAAGCTGCAGGGAGCCCCCGAGGAACTCACCAGGCAAAACTCATGGGCATGGATGCCATCTCGCTCCAGCTTGTGCCCACAGATGTCAGGGTCAGCTTCAACCTGACGACACAGCATGCACGCTGGAGGGGAGAGAGCAAATGGCGGCGGGAATGAGCACCTCTGCGGGGCCGGGGGAAGCGTCCCTGAGGGATTGCCCCCAAGGGCCTGTCTGTCCCTGCCCAGGTGGCTGAAGGGCAGGGCTGGAGGCCGTGGGGAGGAAGGGGCCATGGCAGGCAGGGGTGTCCCAGCAGGTGCCCACTGCCCAGCCTGGTCCCCGCTGGCTGAGGAAAGGGAGGGCCCTGCCCCGGGACGCTCACTGAGCTCCTGCCTGCCCCGGCCACCGCTCTCGGCCCCACGCTGACCGCCCCGACAGCCCCTCTGCCAGGCTCTGGGAGGGACACTGTGCTCTCACCCTGATCCAAAGAGTCAGGAGCCTTCCGCTTCCTGGTGGACATGGCACACCAAGTGTCCCGAGTTCCTGGCCCAGCAGCACCGGACTCTCTCCTCCAAGTGTTCCTTGGCTAATCCTGTGGGAGAAGCAGGACGTGGCTGAGCTTGCAGCAAAGGCCCAGAGACATGAGATGTGGGGGCCACCTCCTCCCTTGACAACCCCACACAAGCCCCGTCCACATCCCTCACCTCTCCAAGGCACACTGACGCCTGCCCAGGGCCAAACATTCCATTTCGTGCACTTGGCACCATCGGTCACCATGGCCACCGTGACATCAGCACCGCTGGCCCGTGTGCACCCCAAATGGAGAGAGGGATGCCCCTGGGCATCTGCCCCCCATTCTGAGATGGCCACCATCTCACGGGGGGGCTGTGAAGGGCTTAAGCCATCAGCAGCCATAGAACCAGGGGAGCTGCTCCTTGCAGAGTCACACACCAGGTCCCCTGGGGCACTCCTTGAGATCTGGCCCATGTCTCCACAGGTGATCTTGGGGACTTCTCATCAGCACTGTCAGAAAAGATGAATTTTGTCCAGTCTGTCTCTCCCCCATTCTCTTCTCCATCTTCCTTTAGTGCCTTTTACTTCTGCTTCACCAGCCTCTGCGCTTCCTTGGCCTCATGTCTCACTGTTTGCACTCCTGGGGAAGCAAAAGGGTCCATGGCTGCGAGGACAAAGTCACTGCAGCACGGGATCACCCGCTAGAGCTCTTTTCTCAGTCCTTTCACTTTGAGCCCTTGGCCAGACAGAGATCCTGTGCAGAGCCCCGGGGTGCAGCACTGGTGACTTATTCCTCTTCCGGCTCACTGCATCCTGGACAAAGGCACCATCCAAACAGGTGCTGGGGCTTTTGCCATCTAATATTCCTCAGAAAAAGCAAAACTGAAGCCTGTAAACGACCACCACGGCTATATCCTGCACCCCTGAGCGGAAAACACATGCAGAAGCAAACACTGCTGACCATCATGCAGGAGGGCACTTCTTGAGACCGTTTAGTCCAAACACCAGCTCAAGCAGTGTCCCCTGGAGCACGCTGCCCCAGGCCTCTACCCACTTGTGTTTTGCCTGTCTCCAGTGGGTGGCAGGGGAATGAAACAGTCCCAGTCCATATTTGGGGTACACAGAAGCCAGGGCTGTGGCCACCGTGACCCACAGGGGCAAGCCCACAAAAAGGAAGAAGGGCTCAGGTTGTGCATCGTTGCATCCCCACGAGGTGAGGATCAGCAGAGTTGCTACACAGTTAAACTAAAAGCTTTCAGCTCCACATTTTTCACATCTGAGCACACATTTCTCATCACTTGACATTTTTTGGTCCATCCAAACACTGCAAAGGCAGCATGGATCATAATAGACCTGCCTCTTGAATATTCTGAAACTGCCAAATTCAGAGCTTAGACCCATAATAAACACACCATTAGCAAACCTAAAACAGCAGCCTAACATCTGATTTTACAGTTTGCAAGTCTCCAAATTTTCAACCATTTTTAAAAATAAATCAATACAAAGATGCGATTTCTTGGTTGTAATGAAACGTTTTTCTATCCAATAATGGAAGTTTCAATATGCATAAATCCTTCAAAGAAATCTTATCAAATGTATCTAACATTTGATTTCACAGACAAGACAAAATGTTTATTGAGACAAACTTTTCATTTCGGCATTTAAAATTTTGGTCAAAAAAAAACCTAATGGAGTGAAAGTAAGAAGTTTTACAATTAACCTTCTGGAACTTCAGCATCGCTGTGATTGTACTTAACACCTTCTGTAAAATACTGCTCAACCTCCTTTTCTTTCTTCTGATAAGATAAGGCTTCAGAGTATTTTTGACAAGTTAATTAATACCCTCATAAATGAATGATATGCTGAATGACATCACCTGACATGGCTAGCATGGACGCTTGCTGTGCGCGCCGTTAATTTACATCAGAACTTTCTGGTTTATGCTTCAAAACACTGACAACTCAGGCTCTCTGCACCACATTATATTTTACTTCAGTAACAGTGATACTGCTATTGGTCCTTGGTCTTACTGTTTTCTTCAGCTTTTGTTTTATTTTATGGGTTTGGGGTTGGTTGTTTTTTTTAGACTGTTTCTTTTCTTCAGTTAAGCAGCCCACTATGCCAAATAAGGGCATTCTTCATTCCATCTCAAGACGTAAGCCATACGATGCCTTCAGACACGCACTCCCCATTGCTAAGAACGGGAGCTCTCTCCATCAAGGCTGTCAACCAGGTTATGTCAGAAGGGTGTATCTTCCATCTTCATTCATTATCAAAGAGGTTGTTTGAAGAAAAGCTTAGAAAAGAATGATGCATAACGAGAAAATTACTCCACTCTCTTTCCCTGTACTGGCCAGTTGAAAAGACAAAATAAGGCTCTGTCGGGAATCTCACATTGCCACTCCAGTATCAGTGCTTCCAATAAATACATGTGGAAACGTTACTGCATACAGATCTTATGCAAAAAACCAGCCCTTTACTCCAAGCATGTCCTAGAACCGTTCTGCACGTGAGCATTTCATGTTCCTTTCTTCATATAGCGGGAGAGGAACTGGCTTCCGACAAAGTGGAGCAGCTTGGTCTCTGTGCAGAACATGGTAACGACGGTTCCTGCAAAGCACAGAGCCCCCACGCTGATGTGAACCAGCCTCGCCATCCAACCCTTGTCACAGCAGAAGAAAACCTACAACAAAGGAAACAAGCAGTTGCAGGAAAACCAGTCAGCACAGAGTCGATGTACTGTCTCAATACAGAACATGGCCCAGCACCTCTCCTGACCACGCTAACACCGCCATCAAGCTGACTGCAGTTTTGCCACATGCACTCATCCCACAATAAATCATCTTTAGTAGTCCCTTGCTTTCTCAAAATCCTGTCAGCAAAAAAAGAGCATTCAGTAGATACCTGGTAATGTGGAAGTTCCCTTTATCTGGAATGCAGAAATATGTTAATCGAGGTTATTAGGAAGACTCTGCTGGTGCTGTCATGCAAGTTTGCAGCAACGCATCAGGCTATTTTCTAACAAAACCTCACTCAATCTCCCATTCCAAAATATAAAGCATTTCAAGGCATAATGGATTTTCAATCTGTCAAATATTTGTACGCTGAAATGCTACCATCTCTGTAATAATTACTCTGCACTATTACCATCTCATAGTCTGAGTAGATGTGATAAATGTGCTCTTGGCAATTTTTCTTTCTGTTCTTGTTTTGGCTGTTTTTCCCCTCTCTCTTTTTTATTACCGAATGTTTAAAAACAGTTTTCTTCTGCTACCACAAAATTTCCATCATTATTAAGAACTAAGGACATGGATTCAACTACAGACAACAGAAATGTGTTGAATTTTATCTCACTTGTCAGATCCACATTCTGCAGGTAGCAGAGATACCTTTGCATCAAAGATAATATCTCTTAATATTTTATCTTGCCTCGTCTTCAACGGAAGTCTTGCATCCTGTCCTCATCAGCCTTTTTTGCTAATGGCATTTCCCTGCTTGGGGACACACGAGTCGCTTGACACACAATCTCACAGCAAAAGCAACATCTGAGAAAGACCCTTACCTCTGAGAAACCAGTGATTACTCCACTTATGATATAAACGAGTACCAAAAACGGTGAGGGAAGCAAGCCTGCCAAAGGTCTGTAAGTGCTTTCTTTGAAGTAATCATAGATAAAGTGGATGCTGTGAGCTATTCGAATGCCCATGTTAAAGCAGTTGGCAAGGATGAAGCCTACACTGCCATACCAGTGGGTCAAGAAATAAGAGATGCACAGAAACGTGAAGGACAAGGCCAACATGACAAAATTGTACCTAGGGGAAAAAAAAGAAACAGTGTAACAATTTATATAGTTATGGTCTTTATTGACTAACTTTATCTTCCAACTTATTTTCTAAACAAGGAACACAAATTCTCTTACCATCTTCTAATGGAAGAAGATAAATTTGAGAACTGAGATGTGAATAAAAAAAAAAAATCATTGAAAGAATATAAAATACATCAAAATAAACCAACAACTAAATATATTATGTGAAGGAAACTATTTCGCTAATCAGCTGTATACTCATTTCAGAAAGTCAAATTTAGTAACAATGATTAGTAATGCAAAAACTTGTGGACTTTTTGCTATTTTAGGTACATATTACACGCTCAACAACAAGATGATCCTTTAGTTTCTGCTCCAAACACTGGCTTTGAAAACAAATTCACACTTTAAAGGGTTGATAAAAGTACCCTTTGCTAAGTCTACTTTGCCTGTGGAAAGCAGGCCTCAATGCCATTAATCTGGAAAGGCCCTGTGAGGGACAGCTGCTACGTTAAGTAAAAAAAAAAAAAAAAAAAAAAAATAGCACTGGGAAGGCAACCAGGCTTCAAAGTCAATAACCCAGGATGAACACAGAATCAAGAAATAATCCAAGGGAGGGATCTCTGGAAGTCATTAGTCCAGCCTCCTACTTAAAGGACATAAACCACTGAATTCACACCCAGCATTTAAATAATGCAGAAGTGTACCTGATCTGCAGTTGCAAAATTTACATGAGTTTTAAGAGATAAGTCTTTCCTAAAAACTGTAATTTCAAGCACATGTACAGAAAACAAGACTTCACATTTACTTTTCCAGTTAGTGATGTACCACAAGCTAATTTAACAATCTGTTTATTTCTTAATTTCTGACCTTTTTCCCCCCCCAAACATTTAAACATATCCTAAGGCTTCTGTATGTAAATCTACACGCAGACAGCTAAATAAGGAGTTGGTTTTCAGCAGAGCAGGGTATTTTTTAGTGCCAATTTCAAATTCACCCAGCTCTTTATAAGGTCATTGCATAAAAATTTTTAAGAAGATCAATGTTTATGAACAAATCTAAGCATGTAAAAAACAAAACCAGTGCACGTTTGCTTGCCCATCTGTTGCACCTGGCTCTGGAGACAAGGAACAGAGTTCCTAAAGTGACAACAGAAAGAAATTTGCTCTTTGGAAAAAAGCATTTCCGGGCACATATTCAGGCAGAACAATTGTTGTTGTTTACGTACTGAACTCCAGGCAAACCGTATGCAGATTAATTAGAGGAATATTCGGAAGACACTATTTCCTACCTGTCTACCTCTTCTTTGCACATCAAAGCAAACGTAAAACACTCTGTTACTCCATTAATAGCAAGAAATAGGACATATAAGGAGTAACATCGGAGCAGATCTGGACCTAAAAAACACATTAGAATGATAAGTACATTATTATTTCTTTTCTAAAACCGCATTGTTTTCACACCCACTAAGAGATGCAATGTTGTTGCAATGTTATCACTAATAACGGAAACTTAAGTTCATAAAACC